GTGACTGCGGCAAATGCCAAGCGACCACTGGAGGAGTAGGCCATTGCAAAGGCGTTGGAAATGCTTGCTGCTGGCGGCTTGACCTCTAAACCTGACTATGATCCAATCAGTTGTTCACAAGCACATCAGTCGCAGGCAAGCTCAAGTTGCTGCAATGTGCAACATCACAAAGTTTGCCCCAGCAACAACCATTCTACCTACAACAAACACAGACCCACTTGAGATTATGATTAAAGAGTTGAAACTTCGCGTTCCTTGGGTGATTCAGTGGGTTTCGTCCCGGAACAGACCCTTCTTACCATGGCTGCAAAATAGGAACATAGTGTCGGCCCCGCTTTTGCCCTCAAGAGCCAGTTTGTCCGTGTGCTGGGAAAAACTGCAGCATTTAAACCGCTCAAATGATGTTTAATGATCCCAAGACGTAGAAGGTCAGGTAGAGGGTCACTGGAGTGGCGTAGATCAAGAAGAGCAAAGGCTGGTTTGGCCGTGTAGGGGACAGTTCATCCTCATCCAATTCATCGGCAGGGGAAATGATGACACGCTTCTTCTTGCCAGTGTCATCCTCAACAATGGTGGCCCCAGTGGCCTTGGCCTTCTCCTTCTTCAATGATTTTCGAGTCTTGGACTTGAAAGCCCTTTGCTCAGCACCACCCAGCTCTTTGGTCACATCTTCCTCAGCGCGGACAGGAGCAAGACCCACCATCAAGCCAACGACTGCCGCCAACAGCACTGCCTGCAAGCCAGAAGGCAGGCTGGGTGCACCTGGTTCTCCCATCTCTTGTGTAGTAGGGAAAGGGGCGTACTCGGCGTGGGAGTGCCTCTCTGCTCCACGCAAGCCCTTCACGCCGCTGTTCGAAGACACGAAGGCGGTGCTTGCAGCCCACACCCAAAGCGCAGTGACTGCGACAAATGCCAAGCGACCACTGGAGGAGTAGGCCATTGCAACAACGGTGTGACAACAACCAGGTAAGGGGTCTTTGCTTTGGGATGGTCCGGCTTGCCCTTGATTTGCCAGACAGTTGCAGCCACAAACTCCACACAAAGTCAACCCAACTCCAACTTCTAGTGACTAGCTCTTGAACTTTTATCCCAGTAATGAGTGCACTGCGGAACAAAAACAAACCATGTTCAACAACGGTAAAAAGTTATACTGTATATCCAAACCTTTTGGACCTAAATGCAAGATTCACTCATTTTCAGGCACGCTAGGCCCGATCAGATGTCTCCTGCTAAGAACAGCAAAATGCGCGCTCTCAAATGATGTTCAATGATCCCAAGACGTAGAAGGTCAGGTAGAGG